TTCTTATGAAAAGCATGATTAAACCCATTCCTTCTACGACTTCTTAGTTAATACTAGTCACACATAAACCAATATCGAACAGACAGTCAATTGTGTGGATCTGTCCTAAACCCACAACCAAACAAGGAACATGGAATGAGGCGGAAACCACACATTTCACAGTCTATCGGGTATTCTTCATACGTAACCCGGATGCATAAACTAAGGAGTCATGGAATTAATATTAATATTCGTTAGTTGAATAATAAACCATCTGTTTATGAAATACTGATGTTTACCCTGGAAAATCCTATATTTTCCCTAAGTGTAAGTTATTGAATTATCCGTTCTAAATCGGAAAGTACAAGTATCTACCATACTTATATTGTTTAAGCATTGTTCTTTTTGAAAACCCTGGCTACCTCCAGTGATGTATATTAGTCTTATTACATAAATAAAACTAGTTGAAAACGTGGTGATCTGAATCCTGAAAGTGTTGTTAATACCCTCCTGTGATCAGAAATCTAGATCGAACAAACAGTCGATTGGGTGATTCCGCCCTAAGCCCACAACCAAACAAAGAACAGGAAATGAGGCGAAGATTACACATCCCACTGCAAGTCGGATGTTAATTTCATATTACCCTGGTGTATATATAAGTTATCACATAGTTATTAACCCTAAAGTTAGTTCGTTCGATCTATTATTACGTAAATATATCGTTGTTATCTACTTGCGAGTTTTATGACCATACTAAACTCGATATGGCGCGAATCGGGCACCAGTATCCTTTATGACTTTGTCACCCGTAGACTTGCCGGTCCTACTGTAGCTAGCAGCAAGGTGCGGGATAGTCAGTCCCGTATAGATCTATACACAAGCTCATGCTCTCCCTCGGGGAGATTTTGGATCATAAGGGATAGTCCTCCACTTAGTTATGTTTGTAAGCGCCCAAGGACGTGTCTCCAATTAGATTAACGACTTTACAAATAATAATACAGGAAAACCCTTTTTGTTATTAACATGAATCCTTATAAAATAATATCTTTTATTTCATGATTCATAAGTTCATTTCCTTAGTTTTGAAAACTGCTTTTGCAAGGTTTGTATCCTAACACGTTTTGTAAAACTGATTTCTATATTCGATGTATATTAATGATGGAAATATATTAAACAAAATAATATATTTGAACACAAGATTACTTGTGCTTTTACTTGTATTCCCCCCTGAAAACATTAAAAACTCGGAAAATGTAGGGGTATGAACTCACCTTATGTGTTTGATTCGATTGAAAGTTCGCGTAAGGATGGGGAGTTTCACGAATGAATTCCTGAGACACAACGAGTCCTAAATGACATATAATAGCATATATATAGGCATGTAATTAGTGTTTTGGACAACTAACACGCAAGGAAACACCCTTAGGGACTAGGAAACACTTGGACTAAGTGTTAGGAATCATAGGTGATTGACTAGAATGGGGTTTACGGCCATACAGGAGAGTGTACGGCCAGGGTGTACGGTCAAGGTGTGTGTGCGGCCATGAGTGTACGGCCATGGAGTGTACGACCGTACACCCATGAAGGAAGCATGCAACAAGGGGTGTTTGAACAATGGGGAAGCTAGTGGGTCGATTGCTCATCAAAAATATGAACTAGATTCTCACTTTAAGGCCCTTTTGGGGTGTTTTGTGGGGTGTACGGCCATGCAAGGGTGTACGGCCGTACACTCCTTTTGTTCTTGAGTTTTGGTCGATTCTAGGGTGTTTAACAAGTGTTCCTAACATGTATTAAGCATAGGGAAAGGATACTTACAATTTGGAGGCTCAAAAGGGTGTTCACAGCCACTAAGAACAAGTGTGTGTTCTTGGTGAAATATGAAGACCTTGAAGATCTACCCAAAAAGATGATTTTCATGGATGAAATCAAAGGGTGATACATGATTAAGAAGGATAATAACACAAGGATGGAAGAATCACTTACGTTTTTGAAGATCTAAGATGAAGAACTCGATGATAGTTGAGAGAGAAATCGATTTTCTTGACTTGGAAGTGTGAGGAATGACTAGAAATGAAAGGATATCATACTTATGGAGGTGGTGTACGACCAATATGGGTGTACAACCGTACACTCATGTGTACGACCGTACACTCCCTCTGATAGAGTGTTCGGCTCGATTTCAACGCGAAGAACTTTAGCTGACACTTCCCTAAACCCAACCTTAATTGTACTTAAGCTTAGAACACTTAAACGGACCCTAAACGATGTTAAAAGATAGCAGAAACGGGTCTGACACTCGGTTGAATTGAATTGAATGGCTGGACTTACAAGGCAAAAGTTTTCGGGTTGTCACAGGGATTGTCTAAAGAAGATGTTAGAGTCATTACGACTGAGCATAATGCTGCTACATGTAATAACATTCGTCTTACGAAATCAGATCCAAATTGCTTCCGCTGATAACTCATTCACCGATAATATGGCTGCAATCAAACATTTTGATAATGAGGTTAAAAAGAAAAAGAAGGTTGAAGATATTCTCACAAGAATTGATCGTTCCAAGTATGTTGATGTTCTTTATAGAAGATTCTCTTTAAATCCTTTTGCGAAAGTTATGTGCTCCAAACCCAAAGGAGAAAGAATTCTCATTGTGCACCTAATAAGAAGAGATTCTAAAGGAGAATACCCTGAAAAGATTCATGTATCCGATCTTGTTAAATATGGATACAGTGAATGGTTAGAAATTCAAGCAGTCATCAAAAGTCACAAGGGTATTCATGCACAATAATTAAAGTTGGCTATCATCTTAATGATCAACAAATTCAGGAATCTCAACTTGGTTCCTCTACCTGATGCATCCTCTATGCCCACTGCTTCATTCTATGCTAGATTTGGAAGAAGATCCCAACATTCAAGGTTCCTACTTCCCTATGGGACTGTCTACATCAACAATTCTCTTCCGACAAATGTGGAGTGCATTCAACATCTTTTCATCAGAGAACCTGAAAATGTACCATTCTACATTAGTAATAATGATCATATGTGCTTTCAACGGTCTACTGGTTTTTCACAAAGCTCATACCAAACATCTTTTCCATCTGAGACTGTAATCCAAAGGAAAACCTGAAGCTGATTGTTATCATTGGATTATCTCTTATGAGCTAGAAAAAAGAAGAGATAAATTGGCATGTTACCAGTGGATTAAACCAGAGATCATTTCAGATGCTGAAAAGGTTCTTTTTGAATATATTTTAGAATAGGTTTTGACATCATCAGATTAGGGGAGATTGTAAGGTCAAACCTTATAATCTGATGAGTCAAATCTTTATCACGTTGAATACAATATCAACGTTAGTGCCTTTAGACGTTGATCAAGCTTTAGAGACAACATGATATGTTTCTTGTTATTTAAAGTCTTGTGATCTGTTATCTTTGTGATATGATTTGTTTTGTATGGTATGTATCTTTAATATATGGTAGTTATCATAGTTATTCAAATCCCTGATATGTCGGGATTTGAATCTAGAATAATCATCAACCTAGTATATAAGTTACACTAGGTTATGATGTAAAAAATGCTTTGTGCACTCTCTCTTTGTGAGAGATTTTCTTAATCGAAATTGGTTTTTGATTAACTCTCTTCTTGTTCTTTACATTGTTTGATATTAATTGTTCAAATTTCGACCCTTCATTCCGATCACCTTCTAAAGCCAAACATGAATTTTTCGGTAAAGGTTTTTTTATGGAAGATCAAACCCTAGAACTCCTTGAACACACACACACACACACCATCTTGATGATTCAACTCCATTTCTAAAATCGTTTGTGCATCTTGAGCCCCATAAATCGAAACTCATCTCAGATTCTAGGGTTTTCGAGTTCTGAAATTCAAGGGGTTTCAATGGTTTTTCAAGTTTTGAACTTCAAGGTTTTTCGAGTTCAATTGTGCTCATCCTGTGTGTAGAACATACATATACACACTCAATCGAAAAATCAAAGTTGAATCTGGAAAATAAACCAAAAAATCGAACCAATAACTCGAATCCGAACAAACTAAACCAACCAAAAACTTGTTCTTGTGTTCATCGTGTGTGTAGAACCAGAAAATCCCTAAATCAACAGGTTTCCTTTTCTGAAAACCCTAAATCGAATCTAAATCGAGTGTTTCTTTTAATTAAAAACACCCTAAATCAATGGGTTCTCTGTTTGTATGTGCGTGTGGGAGAAGAACGGTGAAGCCTCATGTTAGTTCTCTAAAGGAAATCAACTGCAAGTGGTTTCTCAAAATTTGAAATCGTTATCTTGAAATGAAGTTCGAAATCTAAAATGAAACTCCAAAAAAAGCTTGATTTTTGAAATCTTTTAGGGTTTCTTTGTTTATGTTCGAAATCTGAAATGAAGGTTCAACATCTGAAAAGAAGCTTGAAATATGAAGCTCAAAAAACAGGTTACCCTTACAAATCATTATCCCATAATATTTTGGTGAAAATAGGTAACATATGATATGATAGACCCTTTAAATTTTGTTGTTTAGAAAGTGTTGCTTTTACTTAATTCATGGTTGTTATAAGGAAAACACTTCAAAAGATAAAAATTTGATCATGCTTCGCTAAACATGATATATGTAATTTTTATGAACTTAACAAGTATCGAAATGATAAATTTAACAGTAAAAATCAACATAATATGTCAGATAAGCTGTGCTTTCTATTTTGAACACCCGCCCATTAAAAGAATTCTTTGAGGCGTTTGTTGACATATAGTATAATGGTCTATTTCTTTACAAAAATAAACATTCCTTTTGTTTTTGTTTCCTATTTTATTTTTATCCTTTTCTTTTTCGATATTAATAAGAAAGAGATACAAGAAGCTGCATTTACGTTAAAGAGACATTATACATCAAGTAAAGCAATGAATAAAATGCACATCAACACACACACAAACACAAACACAAAAATCAGATCTATTTAGCCCTCCATTTTTCTTTCTTCACAATGTTATACCCAATTCCCCTTTTAGCCTTTTTAGGCTTTTACATCCAATCCAATCTACTCTACAGTTATTTCCAATATTGTAGTAAGTCTCGGTTTCTTATATCTTCTTAAAAGCAAAGAAGAGCATACAACACTTACAGATGAGAGTGCCATACATGCACCAGCCACCCAGGGTGGCAACTTGAGCTTTATCCACGGAAAGAAAACTCCGGCTGCAATCGGAATCGAGATCAAGTTGTATGCCATGGCAAAAACGTAATTTAATCGGATACGAGTGAAGGTCTTTCTTGAGAGATCAATGGCTGTGATCACATCTTCCAAGTTGTTTTTCATTAGAACGTAATCGGCCGCCTCGATTGCGATGTCGGTTCCTGCTCCGATTGCGATTCCGACGTCGGCTGCTGCCAAGGCAGGGGAATCGTTGATTCCGTCTCCCACCATCGCCACTATGCTGCCGTCTTTTTGAAATGAACGAATGACATCGGCTTTTCCGGCCGGCATCACCTCCGCCCTTATGTCATCAATGTCCACCTGCACAAGAAATAAATAAAATCCATCCAATAAGCTACAAATGAGTGTGTCGTTTTTACTTAATAATAAAAATAAAGAAAGTCGTACCTCCTTGGCCACAGCCTTAGCAGTCCGCCAATTGTCTCCAGTAACCATGATAGGTCGGATACCCATTTTCTTAAGGCCTTCCACCACCACAGCCGCCTCTCTCTTCAACGGATCCGCCACCCCTACCACCCCAATCAGTTGTGTATCACATGCCACCAGTATACCTGTCTTTGCATTTTCTTCTAACTCAACCACAAAATCTTCAACATTCGTCGGAATTGTGATTCCATTCTCAGTCAGCAAACTTCTGTTACCAACCTGTTCAATTATACAATTAATTCCACCATCATGTTTGGTATATTATATTTATATGTAAATACAGACAATATATATAGTTTTAACTCTACTGTATATGATTATGACTGATGAATTTTCTAATTACAAAAGTAAACAACTAAACAAAATAAAAGCTTATTAAAACCCAAATAAGATTATAGAATAGACAAATAATATTGTAATTTAACTAAACAAGTGAAACTTGGAAAAGATATTTGTATTATATACATATAAAAACATGTGATGGAATGAATATCAACAAAAAGAAAAGTTATTATTATGTTTGTTTCATTCCAACCAACACTATTAAAATTTGACCAAACAGATAAAACACAAAGTGTGAGTGAGAGTGAGTATCTCACCAAAACTTGCTTGCCATGAATATAACATCCAACACCCCTTCCGGGAATTGCGGAGAAATGAGAGACATCTAGAAGCCATCCGGACATTAGCGAGTCATTGTTTTTATGAGAATCTTTGGTTGTTGCATTCGGGTCAAAGAATTGAAAATGGCGAGCATATTCCACTATTGCCTTCCCTAACGGATGTTCGCTACTTGCCTGAAAACAATTTAGTAATTTCAGATATTTTCAGATATCTATCTAGATTCTAAAGTACACTCTCACTACACACCTCAGCAGAAGCTAATAATCTGAGGAAATCTCCACGATCCATTTCCTGCGTGAATAGTTTGACTGTGGTGACTGTGGCTTTACCTTGAGTCAAAGTTCCGGTTTTATCAAAAATGACGTATTTAACCTTCTGGGCCCTCTCCAATGCATCACCCCCTTTGATGAGAACACCGTTATTGGCTCCAACCCCGGTTGCAACCATGACAGCAGTTGGGGTGGCCAAACCGAGTGCACACGGACATGCAATTACAACAACTGATATCGAAAACATAAGAGCGAATACAAAGTGGTTTCCGTTTTCGGGTAGCCATTCTTCTGGGTAAGCTCCAAGTGATCCGCTCACATACCTAAATCAAATTTACCACATCACATCACATGTCATTTCTCTTCTCTTCTCTTATGTAGTTTATTGCAAGTCTATGGATTGGAAACTTACCACCCTAGTAACGTCATTAATGACAAACCAACCACCATAGGGACAAAAATGCTTGCAACCTGAACCACACACATATAATATATTCATAATACACATAATAAGTGAATTGTCTTTTAATATCATACTTACAATAACCAAATTTATATAAATTTCCATTTCTTTCATGTCAAAAATGCAAAGAGATTCCACCCATCTGCCCATTGCAAGGGAAATAATAGGCTTTCCCCATTAACTCATAACCTTACCTGTGCTTGTTTATTTTTTTTCTTCCATTTTCCCATCATTTTTCTCAAATATCATTTACTGAGACAGCATTTGATGAAAAAAAAAACAAGCCCTAACAGAATATCAAGTTTATATATATGGAAACAAGAACACACCAACTATAACTCACATGATAACTATGTTTCTGATTATCCGATCCATGCAACAATGTTCCAGTTTTTTACCAATTTATGCAATCATCTTTCCCTTTTTAACCTATTTATGCAACTTATACAACCATGTTTCATCAGGTTAAACAGGTTGCTGGTAAACATCGTATGTTTTGGTCCTACAATAAATAAATAATACACCGGTGCATATTTTCTAATAAAGAAACAAATTTGTGGGAAGAGGGTGTATGTTGTTTCATAAATATGCATTTAATCCTTTTAAATATAAACACTCCAACCATAATTCACATGTCTACTTACAATTATTCAATTTATGCAACTATGTTTTACTTTTTTATGCAACAATGTTTAACAATATGCAGCTGACACGAATTGATTATACAACAAAGTTAGGAGTAAAATAAGGGATGGTTGCATATTTAGTATGATAAATAAAGAGATTTGTGGCATAAATAGAGAAAAGTAAAAAGAAAGAGGAAAGTTGAGTTACATACATAATCAGCGAATTTCTGAATAGGTGCTTTTGACATTTGTGCAGTCTCAACAAGAGAAATAATCTGGCTCAAAACAGTATCGGTACCAATTTTGGTTGCCCTGACATGGAGTAAACCATGAAAATTGATTGTACCTCCAATCACCAATGAGTCAACCTCCTTCAAAACAGGTGCTGACTCACCAGTCACCATACTTTCATTCACATGACTTGAACCCCACTCAACAACACCATCCACCGGAACTTTTGTACCTGGAACAACTTTTAATACATCACCCGGCTGAATCAGCAATGCATCTATTTCCCTTTCTCCGATGTTCTTTCCACCTATCAAAATCAACTTAAAATATTATTTTCTATAAATAATAAATTATAAATAATGCAAGAAAGATACCTTTGTCTTTCAGGAGCAGCAAAGCCGTTGCGGGCACTAGTTCCACCAACTTCTTTATAGCATCTGATGTTTTCCCTTTTGCAAGAGATTCCAAATACTTCCCAAGCAACACAAAAGTTATCAACATGGCACTTGTCTCAAAATAAGTCGGAGACCAAAACCCAGTGATGGCACCATACAGAAGGGCATAAACGGAATAAAAGTATGATGCTGTGGTCCCCAATGCCACCAACACATCCATATTTGTTGAACCGTTACGTAATGCTCTGAAAGCCGCAACATAAAAGCGTTTCCCAATACCAAACTGAATAATAGTAACCAGTATCCAGCTCAGCCAATCACCCATCTGGAAGGGCCCACATCTCCATAGCAATAATGCGTAAACAAGCGGTATGTGTGGGCATATGAATCGCATCAAAAAGATTGGAAACTGCACAAAAAGTTACTTACTTAGTTAGTGCAATCCATCAAACCCTCCACATACTCACTCACTTTACTTAATTTAATCAATCTACTTACACTCAGGAAAAGACTGGATGTGAACAGCCTATACATCTTTGATGATTCTTCTTCATCTTGAGATACCATTCTTGTGTACGGGTTCTTTACATGCATCTGAAACCTCCCACAGCTTTCTCTAACAATTGCATCAACTAAAGATCTTGGACCAAGAATCTCAGTATCAAACAGAACATCTAATTCTCTTGAACCCCGGTTAAAACCAAATTCTCTAACTCCTCTCAAATTGCAAACTATGCTTTCCAATGTCTGTGCATCCAACTCGTTTGATACCCCAACAACACCCAATATAATCTTATCCTGCTCGCTACTCTGTACAAATGTGGCATCAAAACCAGCATCTTCAATGGCGCTCACAATTTCCTCCTTACTTATTAACAAAGGATCATACTCCACTTCCCCTAATGAAGTTGGAAGGGCAACAATCGCTCTTTTCACACCAGGTAGCTTTCTTAGGATACCTTCAACGGAATTAACGCAAGCTGCACATGTCATGCCTCCAATTGTGAACTGCCCTACGAGACTTCCTTGTGGCTTTGTGCCAGAAGTACTCTTTTCCTGTAGAATCTCCGCTTCAAACCCTGCATCTTCTATTGCATTCTTAACATCGTCTTCCTGAACAAATTACAATCAGGATAATTCTGGTGTTAAGAAAAATAAAAGGTTCAGATTCAAAATTTCAGACAACGACTCAAAAACAGTAAAGGGATCAATCTTTTAGGTTCGACATGTCCCTTGTAGATCAATCGGAACAATTGCCGATGCTTATTACCCGAATCAGGTTTATAAGAAAATCAATTTTTTTCCTTAAAATCCATCGGAGGACTAATCAAAGACTGAAAGTGATTCATGGCAGGAACAACATACTGACCTTGACCAAATTGGGATCGAAGACTACATCGGCTCTGTGCTGCAACAAGGCGACAGAAGCACTTACGACGCCATTTAAACTCATAAGAGCTCCTTCAACGGAATTCGAACACGCTGCACAAGTCATCCCTGTAACTTTCACCTGAATTCTCTTCATACCCCCTTCTTCTAAACCCTGTCCGCTTTTACCTGAATCAGCAGTATTATCATACCCGTCTTCATATGAATCCAGCAGTCTAACGTCCTCGAGGTCACCGCCTACATCGATCGCCAACGAATCACGGTCGCCGCCACCAACCCCCGTCAGCTGGAGGTCTTTGAAGGTCGGCGCCATTGCAAAACCACAGCGACTAAACAACTATGTATATATTTCCTATATATGTATATATTCAGAAGGAGGAATAGATGTACGTATATGCTGGATGAGAGAGAAAAGTGTGGGAGAGAGGTGGTGAACACAAAGAGATTGAAAAATGGTGTACTATAAGAAAACCAGGCTTGGTCGGTAAGGGCAGGTAAACAAATACATATAATTAGCGATGTTTCACTTAGGCCCCTCCTTTTTACTATTTAATCGACATACACCCCATAGATTACAACAACTCTTTCTGCACCTCTGATATTTTTGTATTTTATGGATTTGACCCAAATTTTAACTACACATTTTCTATTAATAAATTATCACTTTAGCTGTTTACTATAACAAGTAAATATTCAAAATTTTAGAATTTAAAGTTATATATTTTCAAAATTTTCCTCTTTTACAAGGTCTATAATTTTTTTTCTAAAACTTTCAAACAAAACGAAACCCTTCACATAACGCGTAATATATATGTCGCCATGTTGGTTTGTTCTTGAAGAAAAAGCATTTCAAAAATCACTCACATATATTGTTTTCTTTAGCAACAAATATATAATGGTAGTAGAGAAGAACACACATTTGTTTAATATTCTTTCCCTAGTTCATTAATATTAGGTGCAATTGTATGTCATGAAAGTTTTTTTTTTCAAATGTTAATTAAGTTAGATTTTACTTTAAATACTTTTATTCAAAATACTTAATTCAGAGTCTTTCATCCTAACAATATGAGTGCTAACTTAGTTTCTTACAAGAATGCAATGTTGTTATAATGACTAAATTTGTATTAGTTAGTTAGCACTTATGATTATGAAGAGTCCTGATAAATTGGTGATTGAGACAAAATTATGCATTAACCAAATTGAGCATTGTGTCTTTTTATAGCAGAAAAATGTAATTAAAGTCCAAAATCGTCACAGTTCAATCCCCATAACTGCATTTGAAATCTGGTCAGAACCTATAGGACCATTCATGCCTTTTATTCATAAAAGTATATCTTGTTTTTTATAAATAAGGAAATTGGGTAGGGGGGATTTACCAGATATAGCCCTTGAGATAGCTTAAATTTCGATTTTTATCCTATTTTGTACGATACTTCTATTATATGTTGTACTACACGTTTGACTTTTTCTAATGCTTCTCGACGGCTGAATTCCTCAATGGACATTATGGTAATTAGCTACGTTTTAATGTTTTCAATGACAAAAACCTTTGACCAAGACCCATTAATCTTTTATAAATAAAATTACATTAGACATAATATTAAAGGGAATTTTCCAAAGAAAAAGTTATAATGACTAATATTTTAGTAAAATTTACAAAAAAAAATTCAAATTTAATTTTGTTTACAGAAAAACACAAAGTACCGGTCAAAACTTTGAAAAAACCATTTTGAATAGGTTCACAGATTTAGTCCGTATCATGTTTTTTTTCTGTTAGTTTGGTCAAAATATTAAGATTTTTTTTTAAATTACCTAATAACCAAAATATTGAGATTTTGAAAATTACCATGTAATTAATGGATATTTTTATTAACAAATCATTTATAAACATAACAAATATTTTTTTATTATAAATAAAGAAAATACAATTGTTGCTAATTAGAAAGGGGTATCCCAAATTTTTTTCGGGTGGCCCAAATTTTTTTTCCAGGGTACTTGGGTTTCCCTGGTTCGGTTTTGGTTTTAAACCCAAACCTTAATCAAATTTTTAGCTAACCTCAAGTCTTGTTATATAAATATGAAGTTGAAGTATCTTTTAATACTTGAAGCCGGTTTTGGTTTTAAACCCAAACCTTAATCAAATTTTTAGCTAACCTCAAGTCTTGTTATATAAATATGAAGTTGAAGTATCTTTTAATACTTGAAGCGATGTGGGAATCAAAGTAGATATCAAATGAAGCATGAAGAAAAGAGGTTAATATAATATACGAAATTGGATGAATTTACATGTGTTTGGCGATGTGGGATAGAATAACTGGGAAAATAAAAATAAAAGGTAAACAAAGAACATGTAAGGAGGGAGATTTGATCATGAGACCTCTACTTCAATATACTAGTGCCTTATCCAGCAAACCACATGTTTGTTTGTGTTTATAAGTGAAGGGAAACGTATATATACACTATATAAAACGAAATTTTGCTAAAAAAGTTATACTACCGAAATTTTTTGAGGGGTATCTTGGGCTACCCCGGGCTCTACATTGGATCCGCCAATGGTTATAGGATCATATGTTATTAGAAAATCTTATTACACAATGAGAGTATATTAAAGTAAAATACACTCTCGTTCTTTATATTTCATGCAACTTTATTGTATTTTAAGTGAGTATGTCCTAAAACAAAACACAAATCTATACAAAAAAACCTAGATTCGAATTCATTCTAAAAAAAGTTATTGCTGACATTAATGACGAATTTAATTAGTTTCCATAAAATGAGAATTATAATTATGGATATCATTTTATATACATATAATTATGGAAATCATTTAATATATATCTTTATTTAATTAAATAATTATTTGATTTTACTAAATTTCTATTGGTGCTTTCTAGCACATAATAAATATAAGAAACACATTAACATAGCCACACACACACACACACACACACACACACATATATATATATATATATATATATATATATATAGTCAGAATTTTTTGTGAACTCATATTTCCCGCAAACCACTCTTAAAATGCGATTTTTTTTGTGTGATATTTTTTTTTACAAAAAGTGAGATAAAACACCAAATCGATCCTACAGAAGCCTATTCGTAAAAAATGTGCATATACGACAGGTACATATGTGCACAAACGTCGAAAAATTCACAAAGTTTGTAAAAATGCACATATGCACCTGTAGTATATGCACATTTTTTCGAGATTTTTTTTTCGAATATGCTTCTATAGGACTGATTTGGTGCTTTATATCACTTTTTTTTGAAAAAAAATATCACACAAAAAAGTTCACATTTTAAGAGTTATTCGCAGGAAAATATGAGTTCGCAAAAGATCATGACCCTATATATATATATATATATATATATATATATATATATATATATATATATATATATATATATATATATATATAGGATGGTGAATATGTGGCTGTCATGTATACAAGATTACATATAGAACCTGATAAAATTATATATTTTCAACAAAAAATCATTTGAGTTTCAATAGAAATTAATTAAATTTCATTAATAATCAAACAATGTATAATAACAATATAAACAACCAAAAAGTAATATCTAGCATCACGTTTGCTTGAAGACGTCGATGTAGTAGATTGATTTGTCAAAATATATATGGGGATTTTAATAAATAATAAAGTAATTTATTATTATAGGTAATATATACAACAATTAGATATTCAAAATTCATTGTTTAAGGATTGAAATTGTCATTAAATCCAAATGTATTCTCCTATGGATTTAATTACAAGATGTCTTCAATTGATTTTCATGGAGATGGAGTTGACAGTTTTTAGAAGCGGAATTATAGAAAAATCAAAGAAATAAAAAACCTCAATCGAAAGAAATCGAAAATGTGAAAGTCAGATCGAAAGAAATCGAAAATGTGAAAGTCAGATACCTTAACGGAGTTAGTTTTAATTTTAAACTATCTCGTTTTTAGTAGTACTACGTCTAATGTTAGGTACATAACATATACATATTCACTTTTCTCTCTCTCTCTCTCTCTCTCTCTCACACACACACACACACACATATATATATATATATATATATATATATATATATATATATATATATATATATATATATATATGTGTGTGTGTGTGTGTCACAATCATATAATTTATATAATATCTTGAATAACATCATTTTAAATTCTAAAATTTTGAGTAATTTGTTTTGAGCTTTTAAATGTCCATGTGTAATTTTTATTTTGAATTTAAACTATCCAGGTTCAAAGCGAATTTGTAGACAACAAACATAATGTATTATTATGTTCAAGTTAAATTATAACTCATAGAAATATTTGTTTAGCTATAAACTTCAATTGTTTGAACTTTTTATATCAAAAGTATGAATTTAAGATACATGAAATCAGTGGAGTTTATTTATTCAAGCTACTGACATTTTCTAATACTAACTTTTAGTATGTAGCGAATTACATATTGATTGTTACCGATATCTTTTTTATAAGTTTACAATAGATATATTTCTTTAAGTTTAAAAAATCCAACAAATTTAACGAATAGGGTACCCAGAATTGGAACTGTTACCCGTCGGTTTCGATTCCGGTTCCAACATTTTAGGAACCGTTGGTTTTGGTTTCGGTTCTGGTTCCATATAATTAGGGCAGGTACCAGCCTACGCTTATCCCTAGAGTACATCTCATCATGACACCCACAACGATGTATATGAGGAATGTAGAGAGTTTGAAGTAGTCAACAAGCAATAGAGTACTTAGTTCACCATTATATTCCTAAAAATTAACAACAAATGTGTTTCCTATGTTTATAATAAAAATAGTTGTTATGTTTGTAAATGATTTGTAAATCACAATATCCATTAATTTCATGGTAATTTTCAGAAAAGTCTCAATATTTTAGTTATTGGGTAATTTTCGGAAAAGTTTTAATATTTTGGCCAAACTAACGAAAAAGAACAGAATAGCGGCTAAATCTGTGAAACCGGCCAAAAAGGGTTTTTCCAAAAGTTTAGTCGGTATTTCTATGTTTTTTTGTAAACAAAATTTAGTTTGTGGTTTTTTCATAAATTAGACTAAAATATTAGGACTTTTTCCGAAGATTTTCCGAAGATTAAACAATAAACGAGTAACAATTTTTTTTACTAAATTTACTTATATATTTGTTTTAAATTTATTCACTAAAATAATCATATTGAAAGGTATAATGTCCCCAGACAACCAAACTTCGGTGGATTATAAGAATCAACTACCTTACATACGAACATATATTTGCAAGCTCGCATGCTTGCTTAGTTTGACAAAAAAGCAACTCCAATACGTTTTTGCAATTTTAATTTATTGTTCGTCGTATTATAATATATTTAAGGACCTCACCTAATAAAGATCGATAACGGTTCGCAGGATACCATTCCCCCTACAAGTATTAATGTTTTGTTCGTTCCTGA